GAGAAAGAAAAGAAGAAAGAGAAAGTGAGAAAAGAAGAGAAAGAAAGCAAAAATGAAAGAAAAGAAAAAGGGAAGAAAGGAAGAAAGAAAAAAACGGAAAAAAGAAGAGAAAGAAAGGAAAAATGGGGAAACATCGTATTTGTAGTATAATGTATATTTATTATATGAAATTTATGATGATTTTTATAAATATTCAGTGCTCTCCAAAATAAAGTGGAAAATAAAGACGACTTGTATTAAATAAACAGTGCTTCCCAAAATAGAATGGTAAAGATTGACGGTTTTTGATAAATATACAGTAATAAAATGGAAAACAACTTTTCTTTAATATGCAATCATTTTTCAAGATATATTTATGAAAAGTCATCATCATTTACCATATTATTTTTGGGAGCCCTGTACATTTATCTTCAGTCGTTTATAAGAGGTTTATGGAATAAATTCATTTTGGGTTCCCCCCCCCCCTAATACACCCCTGTGTTGCGTGGTTTGCGACTTGCGATGAAATTTTTAAATATCTAGAAATTATACTTTTTGTACAGCATTCCAACTCAGAACCCTGTAATGTTTGTTTATCATTCAAAAGCAGAGAAAAAAAAATTGAATTTATTTTGGTAAATTTGCTTGAGAAAGGCTGACAGAATAATTGTTTTTATCAGTATCAAGAAAGATACAGGGACACCCTCCTGTTGTTGTTTAAGTGAAAGGAAACATCCTAAACAATTCGGCCCGAAAACTGCACTAATTTTAAAACACAAAGTTTCTCAATCAGTAAGTACAGCAGAATGTGGTGTTGCTTTATCAACTCATCTTGGGTTGCCAAGTTTGTATTATGTGCTAAAAAGTTCATAAACAAACTTTACCATTTTTAGCTTCTTAAATTAAATTGTCGTTAACAACAAAGATTGATTTAAGTATTCAAATAAATTCAAACCACCCATAAAAATATTTACTTAACTGTTTAAGTCAATTTTTCTAAAATCTAGAAAATATTCAGTCCATAGAGAACGAGTGCGTCTTGAAGTAGGTCTGTGACGTCTTCAAGACGGGCCAAGACGCACAATTTTCCAAGAAAGTTTTTAATTTCGCCAAATATTTTGTAACATGAGAAATATCCATCAACATATTTGCAAATATGTGAGCACCTGCTTCCCATCCCTTTCCTCAGGCACTCCCCCTGCGTCTGGAAAGGTCAAGACTGCAGCTGAGACATATTCCCCCCAACATTTACATATTCTAATAAATTCAAACCACCCATAAAAATATTTACTTTATGTTGATAATTTTAACTATATAAGTAAATTTCTCTAAAATGTAGAAAATATTCAATCTGATCATGTTGCTTTTAGTGTATAGGTTTATTATTATGTTATTGGTGACAGAGGCGCAACTAGGGGTGGCAGCAGGGCGCGAGCCCCCCTTTCACCTTTGAGGGGGTGCGCCCCCCCCCTGCAGAATGAAAAGAAAGATTGGCAAATATCAGTATCACATGAGTCAGGAATAATAAAACCAAAAGAGTTATTGTAGAAATTGTATTCTACTATGGTTAGTTTAAAAAAAAATCATTTTTATCTTTATGAATTCTCAAGGTTATTGTAAACATTTAATTTTGGAAATCAGAAAGTATATAATATAATAAAATAATAAGTATATAACAGAATTAGGATTGTTACCATAATCGTCCTTCAGGGGACTATAAACCATGCAGAGATATAGATAACTCTAAAAGCTAGTCATCAAATTTTGAGACAAAATGTTTGTCCTTTGGTTTTTATCAACTCGGTTATAGTTACTAAATAGTCCTAGGCTTAATACATTTAAAAATACAATGTGCTTCGTTAAAACAGACTTATTGGAAAAATATAGCTTTATTTTTGTGTGAGAGCATGCTGTGAAACGTAAATGTAAAGGGCTCTCCATTTACAGAGAAGCATGTCCAATTTACAATGGTACAATTTAGATCTTTGTTGATCATTGACTGCAGAGTAATTTGTGTGTTTATATCTATAAAATGGTGCTAAAACAGGGGGTGGAAACATCATGTTTATGTATCTGTACCAAAAGAGTGTGTGTAGGAAAATACCGAACCGAATGCATGTACTTCAGGTATTTACAGTAATTAAGAATCTTAGTATTTGTCCAGTCAAGGAGAGTACATTTGTTTCTTGTTAATTAATTACTTAAAAATAATTTTAATATACATGTAATACTTTACTTATATATTTAAGTCAAAAATATTGTAAACCCACCAAGGATGAAGTTTGTTCCCTAGTTCATTCAACCCAAGTTGAGAACTGACAAACAAATAATAATGATTTAACCCGTTACTCTGCATCTGTTACCAAGGAGGATAGAAACTTTCCAGAGGAACGGGATTCAAACCCTCGTGACCCTTATCTAGAGGAACATGAAAACGGTAATTTCGTCGGCAGAGAAAGCCAACTAGGCATTCATTTTGGTCCCCATAAGAGGATTAGTCTTGATGAAGTATCAGAGGAGAGCGGTCGATAACATCTCCAGTAGCTCCAGGAGGAGAATTAAGCTCCATCTATGATTCCAGGATTAACTTCGGTTGATCCTCAGTTTGTATTTTAATAATAATGTAAAATAAACGTCCGTGCAAAGTTAGTGCTTTAGTGTACATAAATGTACTGATCCTCATTTTGTACCATCTTCATCCGCTGATGTCGCATATGCAGTACAGTTTCATAAACAGAGTTCTCCTTCAACTGAAATGAACAGTGATTAAACATTTCACAATTAAAATTTTAAAAAAACAGGGTGGCTCAATTGAAACTCAATGTTGCATTAACAATATTGTAAATTTAAGATTTTTAGCTTGTTTACTTAAATATCAGGATTTTAGGATTTAAATATCTAATAATTTTATGTTTTGACTTGACCAAATATTGGTTAATTCACATTGAGAACTAAATCAAGCATGTACTTCCAAGAAAAATAAATTCTTAAGCAAAAATTGGCTTGGTTTGAAGGTTGTAAAGCTTTAATCGCATAGAGAAATATGTTTAAAAAGTACATTTCAGCTTTTCCCATAGTCAGCTTTATTGCTAGCACTTTCAAATGTTAGTAACTCTATTTTTCCAAACATCAAGCTGACAGCAGAATATAGTTATGAAACCAGGTCTGTGAAATATTTAGATATGAAAATATTTATTGATGACCAAGGTTATATACATACAGATCTGTACAAGAAGGAAAACAAGAAGAATAACTATCTTCTTCCTCCCAGCTGTCATCCTAACATCAACTGGAAGAAGATCTGGTTGAGAGAGGATACAGGAGAAGATCCATTAAATCTTCCTTCATGGATGTAAGAAAGATAAAAAGAGAGCAGGCACTGAAGAAGGTTGTGAGTAGCAGGGTAGAGAATGATAGAACCAGGTTTATTGTCAAATATGACCCTAGACTGCCTAGGTTCTCTGAAACTCTAAGATCATCCTGGAAGATTCTAATAGAAGATCCAGTAATGAAGAAAATCTACCCCTCTTCTTCTATGGTATGCTACCAGAGAGTGGAGAATTTGAAGGATCTCTTGGTTAAGTCTTAACTTCCAAGTAGACAGAGATTTCGCAAAGGAAAAAGAGACAAGGTTGGGTTTAAACCCTGTAATAAGTCTCGCGCCCTGTATGTGAACAGATGGGAAAGAATACTGTTGAAGAGGTGATAATCTCTGCTACTGGAGAAAATATGAGGATCGAGGATAAGCTGACTTGCTTCTCCTCAAATATTATATACATGATCACATCTAGGAGAGGAGGCCAAGTTTGTCCTTTCCAATCCTCGATATATAGGAGAGACATGGGAGGAGGCTAAAGAAAGGCTGAGGGGTCACAGAGGCACCATTACACAGCTAGGGCAAGAAAATACCCAGGCCCCTGTAGGTGTTCATTTTCGTGCCCCTGGCCACTCCTATGCAGATTTATCCTTCATTCCTATAGAGAAGATCAGGTCCAGGGATATCATGGTCAGGAAGGGAGTCATACTACATCCAGAAATTCAACTCAGTGAGGTCAGGACTGAACAAGAAAACATAATGCTAATTGCAAACTTTTTTAAATAGTAAATTTTGTTTGTTTCAAACTGTATGTATATGTATTACCAACAGTACCTTATAGTGTTGATCAAATTCATGTATTTGACCGTTTTGCCAACGAATTCTACCCCCTTCAACACCCACTGCATATGCCCATAAACTAATCAATCCTTTTCCAGTCATTCAATCCTTTTCAAAAGAGTAAGGTACGGTTTTCTAATTTTTCTTTTAAGTTTTATGTGTTTTCACAATATTCATTTTGAAAAATTCCTTATTGTAAAGGCTACAAAAAAAGATTTTTTATTTTTGTTCTTTTCTTTGTGTATTTGAGTTGCTTTGTTTGTATTATTTTTTTTTTGTTGCTTATATCTGTTATATTATAGGACAAACTCCTGATGATGCCAAAGTTTTTGGCGAAATATATTGAGAAGAAAATGATATAATTCTAGTGCTATAGAGTAGGGTTGGGATTTGTTTAAAAACTATCAAAAGTAAAATATCTTGAAGTCATGATAAACAAATTCACCATTTCAATCAGCATTTATCTTTATGGGATTTTGAATGAGAGGCAATGTTTTTTTGTGGCAAATATTAGAAACACAGAAGGAGCATTTCATAAACATATTACGAAACCTGTTTATCATGATTGTAAGAAAAGTCATTGATGTTTTGGAAGCTTAAATCTAAATCTAAAAGAATTCGCCGTATTGTATCCCCCATATTGTGATTGTAATATTTAAAGTATAGGTGACTCATGCTAAAAACCTCCCCCAGCCTCACACCTTTATCTCTTTGTTCTTTTAATGAATGCGGAGTAGTTAACCTGAACTGATTCATTAAGATTCAACAGTGCACCCTAGACCTTTGAACCGAACAGACGTATGAGTTAAGCTCCGTTTGTTCAACCAAAGGCTAGGGGACGGGCACTTCATGGACAGCTCTCAGNTGTAGAGTTTGTAGACAGCTATAAACGTACCAGTTCTTCCTACTCCAGCTGAACAATGAACTAACAACGGTTCATCTCCTGTCTATGGCAAAACCAAATCTTTTTCTCATAAGGTTGAATAATAAATGAAAATACTTCATACATTTCTAATAAATTAAACAAGATCTTATGTTGACATATTTATAAACAGCCCTTCAAATGTCCTTTTTACATTAAAATTTAAACATTCAAAAACCACCAGTCATTAATCCATTTAATTATTACTACTCTGCATTGCTATGAGTTTGAATGCATAGGCATTATAATGTTTTTATTTTATCCGTACCCAAGTCTCTACAGTCTGATGAACCATGTCAATAAGAAAACTTGTGTCCTTGGGTGCTGTCTTGTCCTTCCAATCTTCAGTGTGCAACAAACTAAAGAAATAGGATTATCACTTCTACTCCCAGATCAGGATCTTAATAAACCTGGACGACATCAACATAGGGATGCCATTAAAAACAGTTAATAAGGAAAAGGAAAAAACTTTCATTTTAACGGGCTAAAATGTATTTTGATGTTTTTCAAATGTCATCTTCAGCCCCCCATCCTATTCATAATGATGGAATTTTAAAGATTTTAGTTTCAATTCATTTAGGGCTTGTGCCATAAATCCAATTTAATAAACTGTTAGCGATTTTTTTATAAAAATTTTGGAGTTTTGGCAGACTGTTAACACTGTTAATACTACAAACAACAATTAACAACTTGCACAATTTGACAAACTGTTAACAAATTTTTTTTTGTGCTTCCTGCAATTTCTGAACAGCTTATGCCGTTATTTGCAAAAAAAAACTGTTAACGGTAGAATATCTTACGTTAATGCTGTTAATAAAATTAAGAATATAACAAACCTTCTGTTCTTATACCTTAAAAGCTAACAGCTACCTAAAAATTCTTAACAGTTGGAACTAACAGTAAAGGAAATGGCTGGAAAAAGTTGAAACATGCCCAGCTTTAAGCATGTTATTGTTTACCTGATAACAGACTTTTCTTTCCCAATTTCTAGTGAGAGTTTCCTGACATACATTGTCCCAATAAAGTTTGTTGATAAATGCCTGAAAAAAGGTAATATAATTAATTAAGGTCCCTGATTTCCCTGAAGTAGTGAAATATTCACAAATTGTTTCTCCGAAAAAGTCTGTAAGGTCTTTTCATTCTAAATCTGAATACATTAGAATATTAATTTCCTTTAAAAATGAT